TTAAAATGGTGGACTGATTCAGGCGATGAGGGGGTGGAGTATATATAGGAGAATTTAGCAGCGACTTAGCAACGACTTTGCATCGAATATTTAGCATCGAATTAGCGTCGATTACCTTAGTGTCGATTTTGCATCAGATTAGCGTTGATTTTGCACCCAGGTAGGTAAACTCGTTTTTAATGTGTCTACTACCTACCAATTTGAGGTAAATTCGACGCTATATTCGACGCTATGTGGTCGACACTAAATCGATGCAAGATTAGCATCGATTTAGCGTCGAATTCAGTCTTAAACTGGAATTCTGACGCTAATTCGATGCTAATTCGCGTCGATTTAGCGTCAGAATTTGTTCGACCCTATTTAGCGTCGAATAAGCGTCGAATATTTTAGACTGACACAATTTCGACGCTATATTAGCGTCGAACAAATTTCGACGCTAAATTACAGTTTTCTTATAGTGATATACACTGTCTGAATCTACTCGCCCCAAACTTCATTACATATCGCCCGATGAGTGTCACTTCTTCGAGTTATTCTTTTAACTGGGAATTTCAATTAGGTTTACAACTAATCAGAGACTCATAGTACAAAAAAGGGCAGCCTTGAATGCATTTCATCGAAGACGTGGTGTTACTTGCAGTTGGAAACGGAATCTTGAACACACACCATCAATCTCAGTACCTACGAGACTACAATGTTGGGTTTACACAGATCTTTTGCTACCTAGCTTATACGACCTTCGACCATAAAACTCTTCTAAAAGTATTGGTAAGTTTGTACCTTACACTCAGTTTCATAATCTTTTAGATCCGTGAAAATTTGATGATTTTGCAGATTTGTATTTGAACAAACTAACTTTTCTTTTTTGTAAGAGATCCGTAAAACTATTTGTTTTCTTAGATATATATGAAATAATGAGCTTCAGCCGAAAGTAACGTTTGCATCTCACACCATCACACATTTCTCATTATGTGATGAGTATACCTAATTACCTTTCATTTATAGATTGAGTCGATCTTTGGAAGCAAACCTTGTGCCGAGATGAAAGAATCTGCGCTGAAACTGACAAAGCCCTTAGCTCAGACAGTGCAAGAAAAATTTGCTGATTTTGAAGAAGCGGTTAAGGATTCTACTAAAACCACAGTTCTGGATGGACCGTACATCCGTTTACTAGCTACGTTATAAACTACGTCAAGTTCTTGTTCGATTAAGTTATTTTCCATATACCAAAGGAATTGTCATCTTCTTGGATTACCCAGTGATTTTTCTAATTCCAAAACAGTTACCAATCAACGTTGAGGCTACTATTTCAAGAGTTTGCCAATAAGGATCCCGATTCGGAGTTGGGTTCCGTAATAACGAGGATCATGCATGCTTTACAAGAAAATTTGGATGGTAAATTAAAGCTGTACAAAGATGCAGCATTGACTCAACTATTCTTAACGAACAATGTTCACTACATAGTTAGATCTGTCAGGAGCTTCTTCGGCTCAAACTTTCTTTAACAAAACCAAAGCCTAAACATAATCCTGAGTTATACTTGCATTTTCATAGGCAAAGGATTTGTTGGGGGATGATTGGGCTCAAATACATCGAACTTCGTACAACAACACGGAAATCAGTACAAGAGAGTTTTTTGGGCAAAGGTTTACTAAAGCATTTCAGGTCTATGCTCTAAAACACCTAAAGAGTATTTTGTCTAACGGTTCAGTCGAGCGGGAGCGGTCTGGTAGAGAACTCAATTATATCAAGAGCATCAGTAATAGACAGATTCAAGACTTTCAATTCTCAGTTCAAAGAGCTTCACCAAAGACAATGCCAATGGACTGTTCCTGACAGCGAGTAGCGTCAATCTCTTAAGCTTGCGCTTCCGGAAGTCCTTTTACTTGCCTTCAGATCGTTTCTCAAACGTTTCGGGTACATACAATAAAAAACTTTTTATAACAGATTTTGGTTAAGATTAGTTTGTGTGGTTTTTTGTTCATCAAGAAAGTTATAAAAATGTTGTTGCTTTGGTATGTGACTATGTATTATGTTTAGAACAAAGCAAGATGAAGCCATGGATCAAGTTATGTTAAGGGTCTTAACTAAGCCAATCATGTAAACAACATTGTGATTATCTACAAGTACTAGGCTTTACTTGTAGAGTTAACGACTGAAGATTGGTTCTCATGCTGCATAATTTTGGGAGAATTTTTTTTACTTGGTTTAAATGATTGTTTTCTTTCTTATAGTTACTGCATTTGTAACTTTCAACGTACAGTTGCAACTTACAAGTTGTCTCATGTACTTAATCACAATGGTGTTGAGAGATCAGTCCTCAAGCAAATCATATGGAAGGGAAAATGGCTTAGAAATTATTAAATCTTTATTGTACAACCAAAGAGACTCCATAATCTTTATTTTCATCCACATAGACAAAACTGAGGGGTGGAATATTAGAAAAATACAATGGTGAAGTTCATCAACCAAAACAAGTCTGTCATCATTTCCCAAGTTCGGTATGTCTGCATGAAGGCGCTAATCATTTATTCCTAGGACAGACATACGATTCTTCCCAACAAACACATAGAGGCAATGAAGAAGGATGCTACATTAGCTGGTGTCAATGTGAGTCTGGTTTAAGTTTAGAAATTTCTGGTGTTTGGTTTTGCTTTAATATCAGGAAATAGACTATCAAACTATTCAATCTTATAACTTTCAGCTACATTTTGGGTTGCACGAAGTGAGATTATTAATTTGTTTATTTATAAATGGGTGCATTTTATTTATACATTTTCTAATACCTTTTCTCGATATCAATATTTGCGTAGTACATTTGCTAATTATTTTAGACATTTTGTTATGGGTGTGATTGATAGAGTGAACTCAAAGCACAAAAGTGTATAATTACCCTCCAAGTTTAGTGAAATTTTGAGGCTTAATTTTCATTGCCGAATGGGTACACTCTTGCTTATAATGCGCGCATGTGTTATTATCATCTTTGAAATTAATTGTGTTGACCTCAAATGATGCGCAATATTGTAGTGTGTATAAGAATCTGTTCCGTAATATTGCAGTGGATGTATATGAATCTAATCATAATAAGATTAAATTTCAACTCTGAATTGTCTTTAGTGTACAATGTCTAACCGGTTATATTTTTCTTGCTTTTACTTATAATAAATTTTTGTTTTTGTTTACGTCCTCTGTTATTTTTGATGGTTCACTAATGTCTTTAGAATCCAATTTACTTAAGAATGGATAAATCATATTGCATATGTTTCACACAACAAAAAATATACATCACCTTAAAAAGGAGAGAAGAGGAAGATTGAATACATAGAGAAGAGGAGCAAAAACTATTTGAGGAAGAAACTGAGAGAGATTTGTGTTTGATATATGTAATGATAAAGGAGTAAGCATTTGTAATTTTAGCCATAATAGATGGATTAGAGAAGCTTCCAATGTGCATAGTGGACGACGGAAAACGAACGAAATGTATTCTAGATTTAAAAAGGTAGCTAGAGACTAGAGTGTTGTATGTTGATTGTACAATAAAGGCCATACAGATTGTTTATTTTACTCTTCTTAACTGTTTTCTGGAAAACATTGTTTATTAGATTATAACAACACAATTTTTATTTATATTTTTTAGACCATGATCATGTTGTTGCCTAGATTATTATTAAAAACTTACAGAAAACAAAACCCGCGCATATGCGCGGGTACTCACATAGTTTGCTATAAAATCATAAAATTTATTTGAATTTGAAATTTCCTTCAAAATTAATTTTACTAACATTTTTTTAGTTTTTTAATTACCTAATATCAACTTAAAATATAATATATCTACAATTTTTCTTGTTTAATTATATTTATTTTTCCATTTTAATTTA